AAAGTGTTAAATATGGAAGATGTAACATTAAAAATTAAGTATGATATTTAGTAGTTTTGAAGTACATAGATTTCTTGAGCTTAAAAAAAAAGTAGATAGATTTACTGAAAGGTTTGTTGTTACCCAAGTACTATTCTGTAAAATGACATGGAGTAAAACGCAGTTTAATATTAGGATTCCAAAACGTACCTTTAAAAAGGGCAGATATCAGTAATCCAAGAAAATTGAAGATTGCACCATAACCATATAAAAATAAGTTCTGCAGACATAAAGAGTAAATATAACACGCAAATAAGGAATGAGTAATGACAACAAAATAGCTATTAAAGAACAGTCTAGGGATTAAGAATGAAAATGCCAACAGGGCAGGAAGTATATCCCACATCTCTATCTCCAAAATCCCCCCCCCCTCCCCATCCTCATGGGAATAGAAAGGTAAACACGGATCTCCCTCCCTCCCTCACACACACGCACGCACGCACACACGCACACACAAAATATTCCATACATTTTATAATACCCAATCAATTTTTAAAAAGTCAGGTTTAAGGATGGTGTGCACGAGTATTTTTCGCATTCAAATTGGAAATAGAACGTTAAATGATGGTTAAGCAGCTAGCTGTTGGAAATAAAATGGTCTAAATGAGAATTGGTAGTGCACTAACAGAAGCTCCATAATTGAACAAAAAGAAATGACAAATCTCATTAAGTAGCCAATGGAAGTGCACCTGAAGATAAATGCTCGTATCATATTGGCTCTTCAAAGCATACTCATTGTAAACTGAAGCCATGGATGGAACAGTAACCTGAAAATTTTTACATTATAGAAGTGGCTAAAGCCAAAATAAAAGTCCATTTCATTTTTTTGGTAAATAATATGTGGCCATCAGCCCATCATTATTTCTCTCTCGTTCTAATCAATTCCAACACACACTTTTCACTTTTTAAAACTTTTCTTAAACTCCACATATCCAGTCACAATGGACTTTCGATCTGGGACGGAGGGAGTATGTATTTCAAACAAGTAAATAAGTACTGTGTATATTGTATACTCAAAGCAATGCATAGTGTGATCATAAGTTCTCCATGATGAACACTACAACTTAAATACAGAGTTTTATTTTAATTACGCTAATCATTGAGAAGGAAAATGCAAAGAAAACAGAAACAAGATATGAGTGTTCTCCAAAAAGAATGTGAATGCAATACCAAAGGGGATAAATGTCCACAAACAATGTGTTGGGCACTTGGGCTTGGGCATGACCAAAAAAAGTACCACCAAGTAGTGTCCCACAATAAAAATTAAAATGATGTTTTATTTTTGGACGGAGGGACTATAAATCAGTAGTACTCCACAGCTGTTTGTTTAAAGATGAAATTAGTAGGCATAAATGTAGAATCAAATGGTTTACGGTTACTTACAAAAATTAGTGTGTATAGATAGGCTCCTGTTGCCACAGGAAGCCCGATAGCTGTAGATCCTTCTGGCAGAGACCGCAGTTGATTCACACTAATACCTATAAGCAAAAGTGCAAGAGCTTCCCACTGGTAAAGAAAAGAATCATGGACAAAGGGAGGTGAGCATGTGAAGGATTTTTAAAGATAGATAAGTACATAAAAAAATAGATCACAATCTATCACACAATATACGAACCAAAAAGAAAAACTTTCACAGTTCACCTGAAGTATGGAAAAGCGTCTTTTCATGATTATCTTTAATAAAAGTGCTATGACCAAAACCTGTAAACAAACCATAAAATATGGAACTTTAAGTAGAGGAGAAAGAACTAAGGCAGGGCTTATAAATTTTATTATACAAAGAAATCTTGTCATAATGTCACCCATTAATTAGAAATCCAGAATCAGGAGAACAACCAAAACATTTTCCCATTTCAATAACATCAAGATAGAATTGAACGTGATATTCAATTATAGTAACCACCCTGAAAATGATTGTTCAATATAATTTATTTCATTTCAAAATCATTTTGGAGCTCTCTGAAAGCAGTCTCTTGCTTCTCTGTGAATATAATCAATACTAATAAAAAGAATAGTTTTATTCCATTTCAGTCACCTAAAACTGATTGTGTTTCTTCAAGATAGATGATGCTTAGATTAACAGGGGGGATCTTGTTCGAATATTTTGCTCTAAATTATACAAAGCCTGTGCACAAAAGGCTGCCATAATTGAGCAGGGAAGTATCTAAGTGAATCAAGATTAGTAGCAGGGATATTTCCCAGACAGCTTACAATGAAAGAACAAAAACATTAATGTGAACCTGAGACATTACACAATTCAGTCTTTACCCAGAGACATCAAAGATTTTAATACCTTCAGGTTACTCAGCATCTTCACTGTTGCGGGGTTAAAATACAGCTGCAAGGGAAACATGTTTTAGAACTAGGAATCCATCAAAGAACAATACGGAGTAATAAAAACTCTGTATTAGTCAAATGCACCTGCCCTATCACTACTACAAAGTGGAATTGACATTAACAGAAAAGGCAAAATGCTTATTATGCATGATTATTGATTAAGGAATTAATGATCCGGAATTGAGATATTTACATAACAGTAAAATGAGATACGGTTTCCACCTTTAATGGTCAAATGAAATAAATTAGCTAAAACGTAGTACGGAGCATTAGATATCCTGTTATGTTATTTTGTATCCATATGCTACTGCACATGGTACACTCATGAAAAAAATTCAATTCCAAAATATACATAGTAACTTCTGAGACACTTGAAGTTCAGCATCTATATTTCAAGGGTCATCAATTTTAAACTAAAAACCATTTACAATAAAAACTTCCAAAAAGCTTACCTGCATGATGAACTTCAGGTAGTTGTTAATAGCATAGAATAGAGCTGGAACAGCCAGGAGACAATTGTTTTTTGCTGCCTGCAAGCAACAGGAAGAACACATGAACTTTTGGTACCCCAGTGATCATAAGAAAAAGTTGCAGTTAAATCACCACAAAAGTGCACTAGAAAGATTTTACAAAATGAAATTCTTTACTCCATATTTTGAAAGAAAAAAATTACAAGGTCTAAGGAGGAAACTGTGCAGAGTAATTGCTAGAAATAGGCTAGGGGAACCCTAAGTGTGACCCCAAGCATGTTCCCACCTTTGAGAGACATGCGTTCAGTGCATGTGCGTGTCCGTGTGAAAGGGGGGAGCAAGGTTGGGGACACCCTCATGGTGCCATAGCATTACTCTAGTTTTTATGTATAACACAGACCATGACTGAAGCAAGGTATCTAATAACAAAAATACTTCTAGGAAAACATACATTAATTATTTTTTTAAAGAACTGCAATCCAAATAAAAGGTGAAATTCTAATTCTAAATTGTAGTTCTATTACTAACTTGCTCTTTTGTCATTCTCTTTCATTCAGAGTAACAACTGAACTACGGCATCAACCATTCTAACCTGGATAAATGTAGAAGGAGAGAGAAAATACTTTTCCCCAGCTTTCCGATGCCTACTCTGCAAATGGTACATGGTTTTAAACAAGAAATAGAGATAGTAAAGCAACCAGATAATCATATCAGAAATACGATATTACCTGTATACAGAGCATCACCAATGCAAAGATAACTTTAGCGATCTCGGTCAAAAAATTAACACTAATGGGACTAAACTTAAACTTTCCATCCACTTTTGACATGTATACCAGTATAGGCTGCAACGAGCACAAACAATAAATTAAGCAACGCAAATGGTCTATCAAAATCTGAAATGACAAGTTCAGGAGCATTCAGCAGAAGTGATTACACAACGGATGAGCTGAGATTGGAAAGCTTACCTGCAAGCCGACCAGGATGCAATCTCCGCCGACCAAAAAGACGTTGAAGGCGCGAGATTTCAAGGACACGTCAGTCCGGTGCCGATCGTAGGCCTTGGACACGGCCTTGGAGTGGGGCGAGATTCCCAACTTGGAGTGACAAACGCTGCACTCCACCACTCCTCTGCCGCCTCCGCCGCCGTGGACGTTCATATTCCTCTTCTGTCTCGGAGCTCGGATGCGCTCGTCTGCTCCGCTCGTTCAACCGGTAAACGGAACGGCCGAAGAATGAAGGTGAGAGATCAATTGATGCAGGATCTCTCCCGATCTAATAATCTATGGCGGATTCAGATCCGGGGATGATACAGAGACGGAGTTGGGGGAAGTAGAAAGCAAACAAAATTTCGTGAGTGCGGAGGATGGGGATGAACGTTAAGTTACGGGAACAAAATTTGTGGAATACAAAGTAGATTTTTTCTTTTTTGTGAAAATTTCAATCCTTTTATGATATTACTGATGTTCATAAGATGAGTATAAACTTTACTATCACATAAAAATTTGTCTAACTTCATAACCTCAAATGTTTAGATTTACGATGGTTCAATGCGAGGGCGAGTTTAGGAAATTGAATCTATGGATTCAGACCAAATAAATTTAATTCTTGGTTCACGTGTTTTAAAATTTAGATTTTCAACTTATTCTTATTCGAATCAAACTAGATTCGAAACAACTTAATACTCCCTCCGTCCCCTAGTTTTTGTCCACTTTTGACTTTTGGAACTGTTCATCTAAGCACATTGACTCATCAAATTCTCTCAATGTATAAACCTAAATATAGTCAAGTGTGATCTTGTTTGATTTGTCTTAACATATAGACTATTAATATATAATTTCTATAATTTTTTAATATACAAATTACAAGATAAAATGGATTAAAAAAGTGCATTGGATGGCGTGTAAAAATGAAAGTGGACAAAAACTGGGAGACGGAGGGAGTACAACTTATTTCTGATCATATCAGATCAAAAATAACTTTAAGTATAATTATAATCAGATCAGAACCAATCAGATCAAATGAAAAAACAAGCCCTTACTTCAATTCAAGATTAAAAATTTTGATTCCTATTGAATGAATCCAAGGGTCCGTTTGGATATGAAGAGAAGGTAAGTGGAAATAATTAGAAAAGGAAAGAAGTAAAATAAAATTAGAATGAACTTTAGATCTTTGGATAGATAGAAATATGAAAAATATAAGGTAGAAGGTGGAAAGAAGAGAAAAAAAAGTTTTCTATTCCTATGTTTGGATTGTTAAAAATAGAGTGAAAAAAAAAGTGAGAATAAACAAAATGATTATTTTACCCTTAAAAAAAACTTAGGAAAGCAAATTTGGAAATCTTCTAAAGCATTCTCATTTTCGGTTCAAAATCTCTCCAAAGATGGAGAGATTTTTTATAGTCTCACTTAATTTTCTCTCTCNCCCCCCCCCCCCCCCCCCGAAATGCAAATTTTATGATAATATGACTATAAAGATAGTTGTGCACTCTTACAAAATATCATTACTTAAATAGTTTCAAAGTGTTTCTTTGGTGCACCTTGGGTGTATATCATTTTTGTAAACTTTTTCACATAAATTTTATTTATTTATTTAAAAGGACAAGTAATCCCACTTTTTAGTGTTCTTTCAAAAATAATCCTACTTTTCACTCTCACCAGAAATAATCTCACCTTCCCGCATGTGTGCGAGTTTTGGGTCGCCGTTAAAAAACTACCGGTCACTTAACGGAAATTTTGAAAAATGCCTGTTTTTCGCAAATAAATGAAAGGTGAGATTATTTTAGGTAAATTCTCCCTTTTTCGTTTTTAAATTTCTTTAAATGTAATTTTATTTTATTTTTTTGAAAAAAATACCAAATTTAAGTGTTTTTAGAGTGAAACTAATTGTTTTTTTTCAATAACCAATAATATGGTAATAATTAGAAAATAAATTATTCTACACAATAGAGCTAATTTATTAACTTCATAACTAACTACTCCATTTGGAAAAAGTGTTCCTCTTTTGACTTTGTGTAAAAATAAGGAAGTACTCCCTCCGTCCCCCTAAGATGTTCTCATTTTGACTTTTGGTGATTTTAAGAAGAGTTGAAAAAAGGTGAAAGTTTATCATAATACCCTCTATTAAAAGTAAGGATAAAAATGGTTTTTTAATAGAAAGTGGAAGTGTTTTGTTGGAAGAGAAAAAAATGGAAGAGGAAGTGTTTTTGATAACGGATGGAGTATATTTTTTTGTAAGTTGCATTTACTGTATTTTTCTTGAGCTGCACTTCAAATTACTTTTTGATACTACATTATTATTATTTCTTAAAAAAATGGCACTACAAAACTTATGAATATTTTTCGATAGTTCTATATAAATATTTTTTGTGAAACAACATTACAATAGTTGTGAAAATAACATAACAATTTTTTTCTCAAAAATAGAACTTTTATTTTTATAACTCACTACATTTTCTGATGTATTGCAATTTTTCCATGAACACTCTGAAATATTTATTGATAATCTTATATTGCAATAAAATTTTCTTTCTAAAATGGAACTACCCAATTTGTGATTTTTTTTAATTATTCAATACAAATTTTTCCCCAAAATAGTAATTCAAAAGTTGTGAAAATGACACAATATTTTTTTCTCCGAAACGGAACCCATAAATTTTATAAATCACTACAATTTTTTTATTGTAATTTCTTTCTTGATCGATACTCTGAATTATTTTTGATAATTCAATACTATATTTTCCCAAAACAATTAACAAAATTTGTTAACTGTTAGACAAATCTCTAACAAAAGTGTATTGTTATATTTTTAAAAATATTAATTTTAAATTCAAATCTAAAAAAGTAAAAAGTAAATTTTTCTAAAATAATCCTACCTTTCATTTATTTGCAAAAAACAGGCATTTTCAAAAACTTCCGTTAAGTGACCGTTAGTTTTTTAACGGTGACCCAAAACTCGCACACATGCGAAAAGGTGGGATTATTTTCGGTGACAGTGAAAAGTAGGATTATTTTTGAAAGAACGCGAAAAGGTGGGATTATTTGAGATAATTTTTCCTATTTAAAAAAACAAATGCTTATTTAAATAGTAAAAAATATTTATTTTGCTTATAAGTACGTCTATGGTGAACCTGAGATCCGTGGTAGATCTTAGATCCATGGTGGACCTTAGATCGACCATAAAATTTGTCTTATTTTAAAGTAATCAAATTAATGAGTATTTGTTAGATGAACTATAATGCAATAAAGAGGTGAGGTGCTTAACTTTATTTTAAAAATAAAAAGTTGATTTAAGTATAGAATGGAACACCAATTGCTCCATTTTAAGTAGAATTAACAGAAGCAACCTTATCTTAGCTCTAAACAATCCATCAAACAACCTCACTAAAAATGTTCAATTCATAAAAAAAAGTTTTATGTTTTGATTTTGAGAAATTAAATAAAAATCAAATTAGTACCCCCTCCGTCCCGTTTTAAATCATCTGTTTTGACTTTTGGGCATATTTAAGAAAAAGACAATAGAATTGATTTTTTGAAAGTGTCATTACTTTTTAGAAGGGTGACTATGAATTAGAAGATAATGTGAAGAAGGGTGACTTATTTTAGGGATAGTTTAGGTATTTTATTTTTAAAAGTTTACGATAACAACTAACAGGCAACTTATTTAGGGACGGAGAAAAAAAGCAAACAAGCAATTTAAATTGTGACAGAGGGAGTAATAGTTAGTGGCTATCAATTCAATCTCTCAAAATTAAGACGTGAAAAAAAAAATTCCTTAAAAATTGTGTGAAAACCATAAATTACATGAGGAACATGTGAAGTGCTTGCTATTGAAATATGAATGAAAAATTAAAAATCGTGAATATCGCGGGGTGATTGTCATGTAAAATTCATCCTAGGAGAGTTATTTTTTTCAAAGTAATTACCCATTAGTTGTCCATCTTACATTTTAGTAAAAAATTATATAATGAATTATCTAAAATATCGTAAAATAAAGTATGAAAATTGGTGTTTTTAACCTCTTGAATGCCCAGGAGAAAGTAAATTGTGACTACAATTTTTCCTTGATTCCCAAAATGGGCATGATATGGAACGCATAAAATGTCACTCAAAACCATCCTCATTATCTAATATTGGTCCTTTTGGTGTAGCCAACAGGTATGTAAAACAGAAAGCAAAAGGACTAACCATCTAACATGAATGCGACTCTTTTTGGTGTGGCTAAAAGGCACAATGCATCTCATTTTTGGTACATTTGGTCTTTACTCCCCCATCTAATTTGTTTGATTCACTCTTGGTGTAAGCCAAAAGTATACACGAAATTATAAACTTTGATCCGGATACTCTGAATTAAATATAGTGTACCGGGTATATTGGGTCTTACTATACATATTTGAACCGGTATCAATATACAAATCACAAACTTTACACCACCTTTTTTTTTTGCATTTCAGAGACAAAACTCGTGTGTGTGGGACACAAACAAGTACTGTTTGTATCACAAACAACGAGTTTTGTGTGTGAATTGAAACAAAAGGCAGTGTGAACTTGGTCTACAAATAGTTTTAATCCAATTTTATCTACAAATAGTTTTAATCCACCGCAACGACTTACAAAGAGAGAAGATCAGAAATCTTGTTCGCGTAGAAGTCGGGTTGTATTGCGTTTTTGGGATCTTGGAGCATTGATAGACTTGTAACACCTGGAAACACAAAATGAATGACACATAGAGAATTGGATATACTAATTATGAGATTAGATGTGTTAGTCGTTGAAATGAAAGTGGAAGGAAAAAATGCAAATTCGGTAGGGAGTTACCTGAGAGGACAAGAAGAGTTTTGCAGCCCCCTTTTTGTCCAAAAAGTATATCTGTATCTAGCCTGTCGCCAACCATGCATATCTTTGACTTCTCAATATTGAATCTGTTGTGGTTCCATTATGGACAAGAGTATCCGCATTCCGAACCAGAGAATAGAGAATATTAAGGTACTAAATGACTGCCCATAAAAAATGTACGGAGTATGTCATTTTAAAGTGATCATTCGAGGAAGAAAGCTCGTGTTCGGCAGCTTCAAGTAATAGAGATGAGGATGCTGAGTTGGTGGATGTGTGGTCGCACGCCGATAGACTAGATCCGGAACGAGTATATTTGGGGGAGAGTGGAAGTAGCACTAGTGGAGGAGATTAGGAGAAGCTGCAAGAAACTATGTTGAGATGATTTAGACATGCTAGGAGTGTTGAGCCCCTGTAACTGTAAGGAGATGCGAGAGGCATGTAGTAGTGGGTTTTAGAGGGGGTAGACTATACCTAGGAAGAATTGGATGGAGGTGATTAGACATGACTTACGACCCCTTGACCTTAAATAGGAACGTCTGGAGGTCTAATAGATTAGAGTAGTTGGATAGTTGTTTGAGCCTTTGTTTGTAGCTTTTACTAGTACGTGTTTTTATACCTTAGTATGTAGTTTGTGTTGGTGGGCTTTGGATCCAATTTGGGTCGGCATGTGCTTCTTCCATTTTTTTTCTCATACTACGTTAGTGCTACTGTGGTTTGATTGTCTGTACTCCTGAGTTTTAGCCGGGGTCCCTTGGAAACAGCCTCACTTCAAATAAGGGGTATGGTCTGCCGTCGCCCGTCTGCGTACAATTACCCTCTCTAGACCCTATTTTTTATGGGATTCAACTGAGTTGTTTTAAAGAGATGATTGATTTTGTGACAAAAAGTTAAAATGCCCTTATCATTTCAAGGTATTAAAAGTAATAACCCAAAGCAAAATTGATATAGGAGGGCAACTTGGTCATTTACCATTTTCCACTAAACTGAAATGATAATTGTGCAGCTATATGTGAATACATGGAGTAATGCTAGGAACATACTTGTTCGATAAGTAGTCCATCATGAAAGTCGAAGGCTTCCCTACAACAAGCGGTTCGCGCTGTGTGGACCCCACTAGGGCGCCTACCATTGAACCGCCACCTGAAACAAGCTACTCCGTAAAAAGCATCAAAGGAGCAATATATCATTCATGACAAATGAGGGACTAAATTTACAAAATCACGAACACTTACTAATGTGATATTGAACATGGATTAGAAAAAGAAGAAAATAAACCTGCCCATTCTTGCGCATCTGTTAGATGAGTGACAGCATCACAGTTTGTTGCAATGAAAAGACACTCTGGATTTTCACGTATACATAGTGTTCCATACCTTTGATCATAATAACGAAATGGTAAGATATATATCAGAAGAAAAGCAAAAACAATGAGAGAGAAGGTTAGACAACTTTCAATGACCTCAAAAACGAAGCTTTCAAGCAACAACAGCAAAAACAAAAAAAAAACACTAGAATCCCGCAGATTAGGGTCTAGGGATGTGTTATCAGACCCGGACCGGACCGCCTGGTCCAAGGACCGCATAGGCTTCCGGTCCAGTCTAACTCTGAGACCCGTTTTCTTAAAACCCGGTAAAACCTGTCCGACCCGCCGAACCGGGCAATCCGGGCAGGTCACGGGTTAGGCCTAGACAATTTTAAAATCTGAAAAAAGAAGAACACCCACGGGTTTCAAACCCAAATATCCCATGCATTTATTTCAAGCACCTCAACCAAACAAAGAATGATGCCATTTGTTTGTATTGCTATGCAACCTTGTATGTATCCCGTAGCATTTACTATTTATTGTAAGTGATTTCTTTATAGTTTTTTTTAAAGAGTTATGTAATGCATTTTGAAGTACTTATTTTATAAACTTTTTAAAGACGGAGTAATTTAAAGAAAAAACAAGCATTATTTATTTTTTACTAAAAATAAACATGAATCATTTATACTTGAAAGTTCATTGCTATCTTTAAAAACCAAATAATACCCCTAAGTATTTACTAATTATAATTTAATATACTAGAATATAATTATTTTTCCTTTATTTCTTTCTCAAGACATAAATTTAAAAAAATTACATAGTTTGAGTATTTAAAAAATAAAAATATATTAACTAGTTGGAACATGTACAAATACGTTGACCGGTTCAACCAGTTAGCCCTTGAGCCAGTCCCTCATCCGGGTCGACGTCCGGTCCAGTTCTCAGAACATTGGTCTAGGGAGGATGTGTCATGTGTGTATGCAGACCTTACCCCTATAACCTACTAGGAAAAAGAGGCTCTTTCCAGGAGGCCCCCGACACAAAAAGCATAGATAGAGTAAACACAGTAGCAAGAACAAAGAAGCTTTCAAGCGATTTCAATAAATTCTACTCCATTGAGCAGAGTAGAAAAAAACATTGAAGGTACTGGGGGAATAAAATACATGGAAACTTACTGTACTTTGTAGTAATTAAAATGACGATCAAACCCAACAACAACCGCTCCAACCTGAATGAAGTTTGACACAACTCTTAGTGCAACTTAAAATGACTGTTATTTAGCTTAAAATTAGTTGAAAACATTGATAGGGTAAACAAATTTAATATGGAATATTTAAAAAAGACATGACTCACAATTGAGCGTAATACAAAGGGAAAACTGCAAAAAAAAGTCTAGCGCGGCTTGGCGCATTTGGAATTAGGGGCACTTGCTCTATCTGTTTTTGCAAAAGGGGGGTTGTGTTCGAAACCATAAACATAAAAACATCTATGGAGCTAATATGTTAACTTTTGTTGCTGATGTGGTGCCATGTTCCCTTCCTTTCTGCACACATGGCACAGTGAGACCTTTGTTGCTAATGTGTGTGTGACTCACTTTTCTGATTTTAGACATCACAAAGTATGTTGATTGGTTTATTTTTTTAAAAAGTAAACTAAAATAACTAAGTAAAAATCCAGATGTGAGGAGAAATACATTCTCATCATGCTCCATCATATATCCTGGCCTTAGTTCTATCTTTTTCTCGCCGTCCCCCTGCATGAAAAGATATGTGAAACTGCAAAAGCTATAAGTGTTGAAAATTAACACTATGTTTGAATCAAGGATTTTAGAAAAAAAGAAAGGAAAATCGTAAGGAAAAGCAATTTTGGTGTTTGGTTAGGAAGGGAAAAAAATAAAACTGGGAGGAAAAGAAAAGGTAAGGAAAATGTAAAGTCAATTTGGAAATGTGATTTTTCTTCCATATTTTGTGAGGAAAAGGAGAGAAAACATCACAACTTTCCCTCCGCTTCCCCCTCCCTAGTACCCCGCCCTCTCTCCTCCCTCGACCCCACCCTCACCCTCCCCCCCCACCCACTCGCCCCCTCATTGAACAATGTATTCTTTTGTTTTCTCTACAACAACCAAACATAAAAGTTATTGATAAATTATTTCTTCACGAATTTCCTTACTAACCAAGCAAGATTAAGATTTTTTGGTTTCTTTTTCTTTCCTTCACATTTTCCTTTCCTCCATAATTCCACAAACGAATCATAGTGTAAAGAGTCTCCGGAGATGACATTTTCTGATATTTTGACATACCGGTCCCCCGAGATACTGAAACCCAGCTAACTCGAGCTCCTTCAATATGCCTTCCTCGCCAATTACGTATACCTTGAACGATTGCATTCCAATTAAAGTCTCAGTCAATTGTGGATCAAAAGTACACTGCATACTATGAATCTTAGCAGCTTGATGAACATTGCACATACATACTGCCCTATTTTATAATAGTCTCTTACCTTAGAAAGTGAAAGAACTAGAAAAGGTAAACAAGGACAACAATATAAAACTTCCAAGCCTATAAATATTTCAAGAATCACGGTGGTAAATTACCTATCCTTTTCCTACTCACCTTCTTGTCTTTTGGGAAATCAATGGACTTCAAGTAAGCAGCAACTGCAAATGATGATGAAAATATTTCTTCCTATCATATGGAAAACGATTAGATGACCAAGTAAGTTTTGGTTTGAAAGAAGGCCAAAAAAAAGTCAGTGACTACCTCAGTGACATGAAGGCCAAGTTCTTCAAACTTCTTCCCATATTGGTTCCTAGATTTTGTTGAGTTGTTGGTAACAAAAACTAATCTCTTTCCCTGAAGAATGAAAAAAGCCAAAAAAACAAGTGAATTGTGGAAAGAAAGAAAGAAAGAAGGTTTCCTTAAAGGATGTTAGGATACAACTACTCCCTCTATCCCAAAAAAACTTCCTACTTACTTTGTTTCCTTTTAAAGAAATGAACATAAGGCTAAATAAAATCTCTAGTCAAAACAAAGTTCAACTTCATAGTTTTCACTTTTCTTAAACTCCGTGAAAGTCAAACTTTGAAGATATTTATGAGATGGAGGTAGTACATCATAGAAGAGAAAATACAATATTAAATCCAACGCTAAACCTGATATATAGTATCCTTTGTTCATAGTAATAGAATGCTGACCTTTGCCCTGAGCATGTCTAATGTTTCGGGAACTCCATCTATCAATTTATCTCCTTTCCATATAACTCCTGCAAGATACAAAATAAAAATGAAAAAAACCAGTTAAACCACAACCAATATTGTTGGAAGAGAATAACTTAAAAATTAAAGATATATTTAACTTTCATCTTGGCTGTAAGCCTGTATGGGTAGGGTAAGACCAGCATACACATATTTGGGGCTTTATTGACTTGTTGTATTATTATCAATTTATTTACGAATGGTTGGGTACTTTTAGAGATGATCTGAAGGAAAATATATAATTGGGAAGATAGACTATCAAGAGACATACATTGCAACAAGAAGATTTTATCAATTTTTGCTTTCTGAAAAAATGAGTTTAACATAATTCTCAAGCAAGAAGCTTGTACATAATACAATAGCTATATAGTGTGCTTCATACTCCACTTCACATGCAAAAGCTAATTTTTATTGCCAATTGGAAGATTTCTAGAAGTTTACTTGCTTATAAAGTGAGATTAACACTCCCATTTTATACTTCAACATTCTCTAATTAGGGTTATGATGGTGCTAACATACTTTTAACCCAATTCAATGGCTCTACAACTCAGCATTCAAAACATTAAGGATTACATATCCAATACCAATTTACCAGTTACATAAGCTGAATCAAATCCAACAAACGCGTAGAACCGCGCAGAGCAAAAACAAAACAGGAACATCGGGAAACGGTGGCGCTTACCGTCGCAATCGAAGATGAAAGTCCCGACGGCGTTGATGAGTTCATCGGCGTTGCCGAGCGGCCGGGCAGAAGCCGATGCATCCATTCTTCAATGACTGTGATGATTTTCAGCCGAATGATCCCGTGCTATACAGTATGGACGGCAACGACGACGGAAGATAACGAGAATTGTTCTGTGGCGCAGATCAATCGGATCAATCCATAAAGATTCATTTACTTGAGTTTGACGATAACGAGAAGGAAACATTGAAAAAAAATGGTGCCCAAAAGTCCGGGATGCGGGTACACTTGGAGTCAAATGTGAATCTTCATTGACCAATACTCCATTTTATTTTTTTTAGATTCTAAAGTACGTGGGTTGTAAATGAATACGCAGTAGAATATTTTTAGTTCAGTTCGTGATTCGTATTTGTATGAGGTGATTTGTATTTGATTTTTTCAAATCCAAATACAAATACGAATCTGAGTAAATATTAGAATACGAATATGAATTAAAAGTATTCAATTCGTGAGTTTGACAAATATATTCAGAATATAAATTTAATCATACAAATTATATATATGTAGACAAATAATAGCTAATAATAAATGGTTATAAAATACTTTAAAATCTAAATGAATCGAATATTTTTAAACGAACCGAATTTTTAAATGAACTGAATATGTTCAATATATTAAACGAACCAAATATGAATCTTAAAAAATATACGAACCGAATTCGAAATCGAATTCGAATACCACTTTATCTTAACGAATACGAATATTATTCATGATAATTTGATTCGATTCGGTTCGTTTACAACCCTACCTACGTCCCCATTCATTGTTTTCTTTCTTTTGAACAATGGCCAAAATGGCATAATTCCTTGGTCTCGAAAAAATGTTTGTGTTTCATTTTTGGCACATCGTAGTAAACACTTTTATCTACATTTATAATGTCTTAAATTGATTAAACTGCTCTTGGCACATCGGAAAGAAATTGTTTTGATAGGTTTTTAGATATTTGAGGTGGGGTATAAGTGTTTTATGGGATATGCAAAAAATTAAACATGAACATCTTTTTAGAACGGAGGGAGTATCTTTTAATATACTTTTATTTACAAATTTATACTCCCTTCGTCCCTAAATAAACTTCCTCTTTCGTTTTTTCTTTGTCCCCAAATAAACTTCTCTTTTCCCTTAAAAAACCCCTTTTACCCTTTACTTTTTCAACCCTACCTATCAAATCATACCTTTTTACTAATAATCTACATATCATATCTTACTTTTACACATCACATCAAGGGTATTTTTGGAAAGTCAACACAAAAATATCTCTCCCTTAAATCCTCAAAAAGTCAAAAAAGAAAGTTTATTTATGGACGGAGGAAGTTTATTCAGAGACGGAGGGAATATAAGCTAATAAGAGTTAATAAGATCGGTTTCAATGTGGGAAGACTTTTCTCACTTTTTAGAAAAATTTACTCTTCATTAGTTATCACTCAAGATATCAAAAATTTACTCTTCATTAGTTATCTATTTTTACGTGTAATATATCAAAATGTTTGTCTCATTTTGCAGAACGTATTTCCATTTTACAACGACTCAAACCGTAATAGAAAGTTGAAACATATTGATACGGAGTTTAATAAGCGAGCTCAAAAATGGCTGCTGCCCACACTTTATTCACATTATTATATTTCCAACCGATACTTTATATTTGCTCCTTGAGCTAATGAAAATTAATGCGATACATAGAGGATACACGAGCATGATTTGAAAATCCCATTGACTACTAACAATAGGTGGGAACAAATTTAGAGCATTGACAATGGCAAGACAAAAATGAAATGTGACACGGTGATATGGATTATTTCAACCAATAAAAAATAACCCAGTCACCGTGTGGCAAATGAGTGGAATGTCGTAACATACAGTGGCAAGTCGTTGTTTTTGTCTATTTTTACACTTTTTAATGATTTTTAATTATAAAAAAATATTTTAAAAATCTATTTTATTATTAAAATATGTTTACTTCTTTTAAAAAATATTTTTTTTCAAAAATTACAAATATTAAAAATATAAAAAAAATAAAAAATGAGAGAGTCATGCCTTGCACATGGAATGAAAAGTGGGGTGGAATGGTCATGGAATGTCATGATTTGAGTGGATTTTGCTGACATGGCAAGGCATTGCCTTGCCATTGTGAATGCTCTTATGAACTATCGATAATATATAAACCGAGTCTCATACTCATTACTCTTGTTACAAATCTTTCTTTTCATTTTAACTTTAACATTTTAAAATGTTACTTACAAATTACGAAAAAATGAATTACGGAGTATAAAATAAATTTTATACCAATTGGTTCATTTTAAAAATGTAACTTTAAACAAAATTATGAATATAATTTCATAATGTATGTTTATAGAGATATTAATGATCATAGTATTGCATTAAAAACATAAAGGGTTAAACATGAAAAAAAATAAGAGACGGAAGGAGCATTAAATACAAGAGGTCGGTTGGTTGTTACAGGACTTATTATTATTATTATTATTATTATTATTATTATTATTATTATTATTATTATTATTATTATTATTATTATTATGGTAAAGAATTATTTATAGTTAGTTAACTATTATTAGAAAATATTATATTTGTCCTTTATGATTCAAGGGATGTCAAGCGTGCAGACAAGATTTTCTTCTTATTGGTTCTATGGAGTTGTTTGCTTGGAGTTGTGAATGCTTTGAGCTTGACCGATTCTTTTGTTGCTCCATTCATTAAGGTCTTTGACCCCGGAGGATGTCCGTTCACAAATCACAATGCATGATTCCTTGTTTTTTCTATATTTCCAACTTGAGGACAAGTTGGTTTTCGAGGCGGGGAGAGTGTTACGGGACTTATCATCATCATCATCATCATCATCATCATCATCATCATCATCATCATTATTATTATTATTATTATTATTATTATGGTAAGGAATTATTTATAGTTAGTTAACTATTATTACGAAATATTTAGTTACCTTTTATAATTAGAATTATTAATTATTTAGTTACCATTTATTATTAAGATTATTTAGAGTTAGAGCATATAAATGTATCCATCACCATAGTTTTGTCAATCAATGAATAAAGAAAATACTTTCTCCTTAACCATAATCTCTCTCTTTCTTGCCTCTTTTGTTCTTGGAGCTCGAAGGTGCTTGAAATTAGACCTGGCAAAAAATGACCTGACCTGTTTTTGATCCGAAACCCGACCTGAAAACACTGGGTTTTGAACAAAGGTTTTGATGACCGAACCCGAAGTTGACCAAACCCGAAATGACCCGCTAAAAATGGGTCAAACCCGACCGAACCCGAACCCGACCTGACCGACCCGCTAAAGTAAGAATTTTTCAAAATCATACACTTTACTACTCGTTTTTAGTGTACAAATTTATATTTTCAGACAAAATTTTAATGATATTGCATAATTATCTTACTTTTTTCCAAAACTTAAGTATTTTTAAATTCATTATATTAATTTATATATCTAAAAATTACCTCAGAGTTTAAAATAAAATAATTTTATAGATTTAATACTTTTTTTGATATTTTAAATTTATTTAATAGAAAATGTAAGTGTTAATGTGAATTTAAAAAAGCTTTAAAAACCAAAGTCATAACCCGTTGGGTCGACCCGAACCCGACGATACTGGGTCATGAACATACAGTCCTCAACCCGAACCCAAATTGACCCGAACCCAAAATAACCAGAACTTGAAGTGACCGAACCCAAACCCGACCTGACCGACCAATTTGCCAGCTCTACTTGAAATCCTTCCCTATCCCGATACGTTACCGTATCATTGGTTTGTGGATGTTAGATATGTTTGGGCCTGACTTTGGTTGGCCCGTCGTATTTTTAGTTCATCCTTGTTTATTGGTGAACAAGTTATAGCCCTAGCGTTTTTCCACATATATACGCATTTTGTACTTGTAATTTCTGAGACACGACAAGTGACTAAAATTTTCTTGTTGTGGCTGTGAATTAGGAAAATCGAATCGCGTTAAATTCTTGTATGTCGTTTGTGTTCCGTTCTTTTTTTATTCTCACAAATATTTGGGTGTGTTGTGTGCTTAATTCCCAACAAGGTCGTCAATCTAGGCATTGAGTTGAACCACAATAAACTAAAAAGGACATGCAATTATATATGATAATTAAGTATATCGACTCTGAGAGTATCAGGTACATGCTCACTTTTTACCACCAAACTGGAATTAAAGTCCAATTTATAATCTTTCAATGATTCCCCACTACCTCTTAAGTCCGAAGCGATCTCGTGAATGGAGCTCGTCCTTTTAAAATGGAAAATGTAACACAAATTAACCCATAACATAAAATATACTCCCTCCGTCCCAAAAATATTTGTCACACTTGCTTTTTCAGCAGTCGCGAGAACTTTTGTTTATTTCTTCGTTTTCATTAGTTATTTGATAAAATAAAATATTCTTGACACCTCTTATTTCGAAGAACTTTTAATGTAGTTTTTTGATATGTAAATTTTATTTTTTATTTCTATACCAATATGTAAATAAAACGAATTAAAAAAAATTTGATATTTTACCTCGAGAATACAAGTGTGACAAATATTTAAGGACGAATGGAGTATAAAACTTAAGTCTAGAAGTGACCTATACTAGAGTTACATTTGGTAGGTCTTTATTTGGTCATTTAAGTGGAGTTCTTTTGTTTGAGGGTGTGGCCGCATCTTTATTAAACTAAAAATGCTAGGGGTACACCAAAAGTGTATCACATTTGTCCTTCACCTCCTCCTTATCCATATAAATGAGCAAGAAACTTAAAAAATTAAATAAATAAAAATAAAATAAAATAAATAGCGGAGAAATGGATGAGAACAAATGAAGAAGGTGTACCATCTAGGACCATGTTAGGGTGCCACCACATGGGTGCTACCATGGGTGCACCCATGCTTCGCACAGACAAACACAGACGATAATTGTCTGTGTTGCACAGACAATTATCGTCTGTGTTTGTCTGTGCAAAGCATGAGTGCACCCATGATAGCACTCGTGGTATTTTCCATCTACACACAAATCCACCGGCACCTACCATTTCATGTGCCCTCCAATAATAATTATAAATACACACAAAAAAACCCATCAATTAGTAATATATATATACACACATATATCCATTATCTGTCTCCATGGGAACGCTCTACCGGAAACCGGCGGCATTTCCCGGCGACCTGAAGGTGACAATCCACGACGCCGGCCTGGTCGTCCCGCCTCGGCAGGAGACCGGAAACCGGTCCATGTTCTTGTCCAACATAGACAAGGTCCTCAACTTCGATGTCCAGACTCTTCACTTCTTCCCGAAGAACCCGGACTTCCCGCCGGAGAAGGCGGCGGGGAGGGCGAAGGAGGCGCTGCGGAGGCTGCTGCAGTTCCCTCATTACGACTGGCTGGCCGGCAGGCTGAGGAAGGGTGGGGGAGCGGCGGCGGGGCGGCTGGAGATCGAGTGCAATGGGGCGGGGGTGGGGTTCGTCCGGGCGGCGAGTGAGTTCGAGCTGGAGGAGATCGGAGACCTGGTTTATCCGAACCCGGCTTTCCGGAAACTCGTCGCCGCCGGGTTTGATTTCTTGGAGAAGGATGATCAACCCCTATGCATTGTGCAGGTATGCCTAAAGTGAGCAAGTTTTTTCTTCAAAAAAAACAAAAAAAAAAGTGCTTAGGTCTATAAATATTGATGTAAAATTTCATTAGGTCTTTAATTATATACTCCTCCGTCCCAAAAAGTCCAAAACGTTTCGAAAAAATCGTGTCCCATAAAGTCCATAACATTTCTATTAAAAACCCACTTTTACCCCTTACTTTTTCATACTTTACGTATTACATCATACTTTTTTTTAATAATCTACTCATCACATCAAGGGTATTTTTGGAAAGTCAACACCAAAATATTCCTCCCTTAATTTCCTAAAAAGTCAATATGTACCAATCTTTTTGGGAGGAAGAGAGTATTATCAAAAGTACTCTCCAAGTGCTTAAATTAGTTTAAGGGTCTACCAAGTTCTTGTACTTTTTAATTGTTGCATAATTAAGTAGTGTATATATATATCCAGTGAGTTTTTTTAGGCAATAGTGCAATTGGGAAGACAAGACGTGCCTCCAAAGTAATTCTCTCTCCATTCCACAAAACCTTTCCTCTTTCGTTTTTTTGTTTTCCACAAAATACTTTTACTTTCTATTAAAAAACCACTTTTACCTCTACTTTTTCATACTCTACCTATCACATCATACTTTTTCACTAATAACCAAACTATCACATTTTACTTTTTCTCATCACATCAGAGGCAAAATTGGAAAGTCAACCAAAATTATATTTTTCTTATTTTTTCCCAAAATCAAAACCGGAAGGGTTTTGTAGAACGGAGAGAGTACCTAACTGCATACATTAGTAAAACAACTAGGTCGAAGTAGAAAATATAGCATGTTAATGACTATAATGTTACCGAGCACTTTATATATTATAAACTATCAAAGGAAAAGATAGAAATTAAAGGAAATGAAAATATAATTTGATATTTTATGAATAGTGAGTAAAAAATCTTAGGAACGAATTAATAATACTCTAATTCTTCCGTTCCAAAATCTTCTTTACATTTGACTTTTATAATTAGTCTTTGTAAAAAAGGAAAAAATAATGGTATTTGAATTCCATTTCTTATATCAGGACTTCAAAATGTACTATTTACCTCTCGCTTCAAAAGTACGGAGTATATTTTGAAGTGTCAATAGCAAAAAAATAAAGTGTAAGTATATTTTCACTGAGGAAAATGGTATAAAAAGTTGATATAGTAAAAATACATTTTAAAATAAACTTGATTATATTACATTTATATTATAATTAAATACATAGTATTTTTTCATAAATCACATTAGTATTTTTTAAATTTGATAATAAAAAATTAAATGTAAATAAAATTTTGGGATCAAGAGGGTAATTTTTCGTGATTAATTAAGAGCAATACAATGTATGCAATGCACAAATAGGGCCAGCAGCAGGACGTGTGTGTTTCAAAACGGTCGTTTTATATTAATGGAATCACTGACTAATCGTCTAATGATGAATAGGAATTAAGAATTAATACGTACTCCGTATTAATTTATGCGCAGTAGTTTTGTTCTATTTTTATTAATTACTGTAATTTTTTTTCATTTATTTTCGTTTATCATTTTTTTTAAATAACATAGTCATGCATGCCACATCCGGTTTTATAAAACATTTTATATAATCTTTTAGTATATATATATATATATATATTCCCTACATCCTAAATTATTTATCTTAGTTTGACTGTAATGCTAACTTTGACTTCTAATTACATACAGCTCAAAATAATTTAAAGTTGTAAAAAAATAGATACTTTGTGTATCAAAACTACAACTTAATTAAATCGGACCTAATTATATTAAATTTATAATATAATTAAATATACATTTTTCACAATTTATGATCAGAGTTAGTATAGATGCCAAGTTGAGGCAACTTTTTTGGGGGAGAGAACATAAACTTTATTTTGACATTTTACGGCTCTGCTTGGGATCAGCGTTAGCGTTTTGAAAAGGCAATCTGACGGTAGCCTTTAGCGCTTTCGGAGTTAATCTACATCGTTAAAATTGTATCCAAAACGCTAACGGAGATTGAAAACGTTCTTTCCCAAACAAGGCCTATATCATTATTTAAATAAACTAAATTAAAAATAAACCCTCGATCCAAATCTATCTCGTTATCCGAAACATGACAATAATTTCAAGATGAAGGAATGAATTGAAATCACATTGGTATCATGAGTAAGAACAATTAATTGTTGGCTAGCTAGCAAGCACAAAATTAGTTTTTGGGCATTAATTGAAGTCACATTCAACCAATTGTAACAAACTCTCCCTCAAAAAAAAAGAGACATAAAAAATAAGGCCTCTCCGATAGTTTCGGTGCAACTGCAATTGAGGCTCCATTTCAATACTCAATTTAATACCAGACTCCGTACCCCGGACACATTCCATTATTGTTTCCTGACCCCTCATTTATTCTTCAATTGTCCTTCCTTTTCCTTTCGGTTAAGTTTCTTAATCAATAACGGGACTTGCTCTGCAAATATAGCCTCTCGAATTAATGCAAACATAACTTGTATACTTTTATCAAGAAAAAAGATCAACAAGAGTTAATGAAATTACGCCGTTTCTGAACAAAAGTCTTGGTTTGACTTCACAATTTATTTTGGTTGTTAACTTATGTGATAGGTTCTTTTGACATTAGAAGCTCATGCATGTAATCTTAAAACGTTGGGAACGTACGACCTTACATTATATAGTTTCATCGATCTAAAAAAAGTTATTCAAGAGTAACATTTAGTTTTAATATTTTCAAAGTTAATTTACATCATTAAAAAATGACTCCGTACAAAACATGTCAAGGAACCAACGTAAGTCAACAAAAAATGAGCACTTTGATCGAGCATCGCACGTAAAACTTAAATTTTTTACTCCCCCGTCCCGAAATAGATTACAATATTCTCTCACATTTTTTGTCCCAAAAAGGATTACAAAGTCAACAACTTTATAGTGATTTGACTCTTTTACCCTCCCTTTTCTTTTCTACCAGCCACTATTCACACTATTTGGGGGGATTTGGGGGGTAATTTGGGGAAAAAAATTTGATTTGACTCTTCCTTAATTTCAACTAAAAGGGAATATTGTAATTTAAAGAGGGACGGAGGGAGTAAAAAACTAGGTGACGATAATTCGTTTGAAACTCATGATCGCTGGTGAACAAGACTCAACTATGTCAAGAAACAAATTCAATCAAAGATGTAAACTTGTGGTTACTTGCCCATAAAAATACTTTGACCCCAAAGTGAATTTTAAATTTTTAAGATAACTTATCTTTCCTATTATCCCAAATATTCCTAACAGTGATGGTTCATTTTCAGGTAACCTCGTTCAAATGTGGGGGTTTTGCAATGGGCGTCTCAACAAATCACGCCACCTTTGATGGGATGGGATTCAAGGCCTTTCTTCAAAACCTGGCATCCCAAGCACGTGACGGCGGCGCCGGCGGCGGAGATGGTGATCTCCCCTTGGCGGTGGTCCCGTGCAACGACCGCTCCCTGCTGGCGGCGCGTTCCCCGCCGCGCGTCACCTTCCCGCACCCGGAGCTCCTCCGGCTGAACCTCGGCGACGGCGAGGAGATGGCCCCGCCGGTCTTTGACTGCTTGAAAGATGAGCTCTCCTTCGAGATCTTCCGGCTCAGCTCCGCCGACATTGACAAGCTCAAGCGCGAGGCAAATGCGGCGCCGCCGGAAGGTGATGCAGTAAAAGCCAAGGTAATCACTTTTATACCAATGCACATAAAAATTATTTAATGGAAGTCTAAATTTTGTTCAAAGTCAAAGTAATAAGAGGAATTTACTTAAATAGTATTAAAACATAATGACTTTTTTAAGTAACATCACATGTGTTTTTTTCGGGAAATAAAGTACGTTTAGTCATTATGCATTAGTCATTATTCAAATAAATATTTGTCATTACTGGACATTATGGATATTATTAAGTATTATTTAATGAATAAAACAATTTAAGTAGTGCTTAGAGAAATGACTTAAGTTTTAGTACTATTTAGTGCAAATATTTCAACTAATAAATTATACTGAGACAAATGTAGTATATATACAATTAACAATAACATAAAAATAAGAGCTGACATAATTATATTATAATAATTAATTAATTGATACTAAAAATATGTAAATAAATAAGATATAATTTGACCTCTCAATAGAGGATGAAAAAAAAGTTATGAAGCAGTACAATTAAGATTTCTAATATTTTTACATATAATGGGGTTGGCAATATAAATTCCCTATAATTTAGCATTATATGTTGGTATTTTGTTATATTTTTAGACATTATATTTTGACATTAATAAGCATTATAAGTTCAATTTTGAAATATTAAAGATTCTAAGAAATAGATTGAAGTAAATAAATTTGGGGGTAAAAAAATTGGGGGTGATATTGTCACCCCACAAGGCCAGCTCAAGGGTGGGTCAGACCCAATCTTTTTACATTCTATAGCTCAAATCTTATTTCACCTATTTTCAAAAATAAAATGTTGTAGATGGGGTTGAACCCAAACTTCTTAGAATACTAACACATAACTCATCCACTTGAAATACTAACATTGTCATTTTTAAAGTCGTGCATAAGGTTATGTGTGTGTGTCAATAAAACTTATAAATGTTTAGAAAAAGAAAACACAGTTATACTAGTATCAACCCCGTGCTTCGCACGGGCTCATATATATTTCTAAATTTTGACATCTAAAAATAAAATATGATTTATTTTAAATTCTTTATTAATGATATATGATGTGTTTGATAAATAATTTCTAACTATTTTAAAGTTTTATAAAAATGTAATGGTTATCAAAAAAAATAATGAAAATCATTTTAATTAATAAAAATTAAATAAAAATGTTAAATAAATCAATTAAGTAATGACACATCATTATAGAATGCATATCTGGCATGTGCCACATGTAATCCTTCAATTAAACTTTCACATTGTTTAAGACAAGATTAAAATATGTTATGTATGCATGTGTGATAAAATTTGTATAAAACAGTTTCTTTTGAGATGATGGATAATTTTAAAAATTATAAGAAACATTTTTTTAAATTAATAAATTTTATATAATTTCATTAATATTATAAAATAGTCGTGCATATTTAAAAAATATGTTAAAACAACAAAAAGAATTTCTAAAATAGTTAGAAAGTGAAAATTTTATAAAAGCGAACAAACAAAAGGGTTTTTTATTGTTGGAAAGTGAAGGGTTTATTATTAAATCATTTTAAAAATAATGATTTAATACAAAATTAAATATGCATGTGTGGAGGGACATGTGTCTTGTGATTTACATGTGGCATAACATGTGTTAGTAGTATGCACGTGTGGCATGACACGTGTCATCACCACAACCATGTAACTCTCTTTTACATATATATATATATATATATATATATATATATATATATATAGGATAGTATGCTTGTTCTTATAAATTTTTATAAACAGTTCAAAAAATAAATAAATAAGAACAATTTATTTTTATCTAAAATAAATGTGAATACTTTCACCAAAGAACCTATTATCATCAATAAAAATAAATAAATATGTTCTAAAAAGTAAAAATATATTTTTAATAATAATTTAATTGGCGGAGTTAAAGACCTTTTTTCGGTCTCGTGTCGGGCCATTGAATTTTTGAGGCCAACCTTGTCACCCCACTATGGCTTATGTAGTTATGTCGTGATTGTCGTCACTCTCATCAGTATTTTTTTTTGACAAAGACCGAAGTGCGTGACAAATTACCCTTTGGCTCCGTTTGGTACACGGAATTTAAACTATAGAATTGGAATTGAGAACCTCAATTCCAATTCTACCGTTTGGTAGCACAAAAATTATGTGGATTTGGAATTGGTAGTGCAAAAAAATGAATTGGAATTGGTGAGTTCAATTCTATGGAATTGAATCTCATGGAATTATAATTTCAATTCAATTCTAATTCCTATCAATTCCGTGTACCAAACAGACCCTTTATGTTTTTTTCGTGTCCCTTTATTATCATATTTTATCCAAAAGATGTAATGTTAATCAAGTAATATTTTGAAGTTTGAAAAGAATAACTGGATGTTGAAAGAAATTGAGAGAAAACTGGAAGAAACATGAAAAAATAGGAAAAAACTGGAAAAAATTGAAAAATCTTGAATAACTTAGAGGGAATTTCAAAAACTGGAAGAAAGTGAAAAAATTTAGTAGAAACTGAAAAAAATTAGAAGGAATTTCAAAAAGTCATTGTTGTTGTTATTAACATTATTATTGACAAATTATTATTATTATCATCATCATTATTATTACTATTATTATTATAACTATCATATATAATTAGTAAAGGAAGTGAAAAAATCAACCACTTGAATAGTAATGCACGTGCGATTTAATTAGGGACAGAGGGAGTAGAATAATTATTATTTTTTAATTTAAAGTATTGATATTTTTCCTAGGTCAATTTACATTAAGAAAATATTCCTAATTTTTAGACCATGGTTTAGTGTCATGTAAACTAAAAAAATATATGACCTCAAACACATACAATGATAAATTCTTTTTATCCAAAACTTGCATTTTCTTACATATTTATTTGGATTATTATTTTATTGAGTTTTTTTAACAATTAAAATTTTCCAACATTTTCCAACTTTTACTTTCTAATTTCTAAATCCTTTCAGTTTCTTCCAACATCCAATTTTAAAATTATAATTCAAAGGAATATGTCCCAAAAAGTGCTATAAGGGGGTTACAATCTCTCCAATTTATTTTTATTAGGATCGGATCAAACAAATATTTAATTTTTAGTTTGTAACCTTAGACCGAGCATTTTTAAAAGATGTTATATTGAAGGGGAGGGGCATTACTGCAATTTTTTCGTTTTATGTTGTTTGCCAATTGAGTTTGAATTTGTTTTATTTATGTATTTATCTTTCCATTTAAGTCTTAAAGTATTTTTTAAATTTAAAAACTAAAAAAAGCAGTGAAAAATAAAAGAAATATATTTTGATTTAATTACTGTATTTTAAAATAGTACTATATTTTTTTGACAAAAAATTAAACAGTACTATATTTTGAGTTTGAGTTTTATATATTAGGGTCAGGGAGATGGTACAAACACATAATTTTTATACATAAATAAAGCATTATCTACTCTTTTTTAAATACATAAATTATCGTTTATACTCCGTATAAAGCTCACAAAAGCATCATATACTCTTTTTTATACATAAAGCTAGCATCTTATACTCGTATATGTACGAGTATCGCTTACCGTATAAAATTGTTTCCCATATCAATTAATACACGTTTAGTATAGTACTCAAAGTTTATACATAAAGCATCATAGTACTCTTTTTTCTATACATAAATTATAGTAATTTATACTCCGTATAATCCTCACAATAAGCATCATATACTCGTATAAATCACTCTTTTTATACACTAAGGTAGCATCGTATACTAGTATAAAGTACGAGTATAGCTTACCGTAGAAAATTGTTTCCCTGAATGACATTTCAAAAATACGGAGTATGAGTTTAGAATTCCAATGACATTTTAGAATTTTTGTTTATTTACGTGTTTTCATTGACCATTTGATTAAATAAAATGTTCTTGTCATTTCTTATTTTGTAGAACTTTTGATGTACTTTTTAAATATGTAAATATTATTTTTTACGAGTATTTACATACTAATTTTTAAATAAAATGAACTGAAAAAATTGAAATTTTACTTCGATTTGCGTAAAGACTATAATTTAGGGATGGAGGGAGAGTGATTAAGTTCTGCTATTGGAGTACTAGCTGGAAAGAAATTTTTCAAAAGAAAAAATTCACAACAATACTCTGACAAATTTTGGATTTTACAAGAATACTCTGAAAATTAATCAATTACACCATTACTCCCACAATTGCTCTATTTTTACAAAAATACTCCACCAACCACCTCATTTGCACAATCATATTATGTAATATCTACATTATATTAATTTTTAGGAAGAAAGACCAAAATAGGACTAAAACATTGAAAATATAACAAAATAGAACTTCCATGTTTCTATTTCCGAAATAGGACTTACATTATCAAACATGGTCATATACATTACCAAAAAAAATATAGTAATGTACACATGTATACTGCCACATTACCACAGTGCAAAGTCACATTACCATTGTGCAAAGTCTTATTTCGAGAAAAAAACATGAAAGTCTTATTTTGGTACTTTTCTCTATGTTTTAGTCCTATTTAATGTGATTTCTCTAATTTTTAAACTAATGACTTGGAACATAAATAATTTTTTTCAGTACGTTTTCATGGGAAAAAAATTATTTATTCTTCCTCCAATTTAAATATCAATCTCCTACTTTGTTCTTTTGGGTTGGAAACATTAACTTTTAATTTTTTCTAACTCTATTCAATTTTTTTCCAACTCCTTACAGTTTATTCCAATATACAACTTTAGAATTCCAACCTAAAATGGCATGCCCTAAATTGTGTGAGGTGTGGTTGATATTTGAGTTGAAAAAAGGAATAAGTTATATATTTTTTATGAAAACTAAAAAAAGTAATTATTTTTTCAAATCATCACTATAAAAATTTATTTAGATATATATTGATTATATTCCATAACTTTATTGTGCAAGCAAGGTTGTGGGAGGAGTATTTTTTGTAAAAAGAGAGCAATATTGGGAGTAATGGTATAATTAATTGACTTCTTGTAAAATTTAATATTTGTTGGAGTATTGTTGTGAATTTTTCCATTTTCAAATAGAAACCTTAAAATGGCCAAATATTTAATAGTTTAGAGTTTAGACTTTAACTTTAAATTTGATGGGGTCCATTAAAAATTTAGTTTTTTTGGTACATAAAAAATTGAAGATAAATGATACTCCCTCTGTCTAAAAATTTCTTTTCCGATTTGAGTTGACACGGAAATTAAAAAAAGTTAAAAAGTGTAAAGGCTTCTCATTTTTTGTTCTTGATGTGATGAATAAAGCAAATAGTGTAGATAAAAAAGAGTGTATAATGGAACATTTATTAAAAATTTGTTCCCAAAATAGGAAACGAGAAATAAATTTTTGGACTTTTAAAAAGCAAAGTGAGACATAATTTAATAGATGGAGGGAGTAATAAAAAAGAGGATTGTGTGTGCGCATACACGGTAATTATCTATTTGTGTGTCTAAGGTCATGTTTTTTTCAACTCATTTCTGCTACTTATTGTTTATTATTACCAGATTAGATCAGATTCATTCATATCAAACCTGATCAGGTTCATTCGGATTAGATCTATTTAATTTAAATCAGATCAAATCCATTCAAATAAAAAATCTATATAAAAATAATTAATTAAAATAATGCATAGTATTAATAATAATTACAATAATAACAATAGTAATTATTATTATCATCATTCATTAATAATAATATTATTATTATTAACAAAAATAATTAATAATAATAATTTATTATCATCGTACTTAATAATTGTAATAGTAATTAATAATAATAATAATGACTAAAATGATCATACTCACTATTATTATTAACTAATAATAATGGTAATAACAATTAATAATAACATTTATTTTTAACAATAATAATAATAATAATAATTTTTAATAATAATAATAGAATTTAAAAAAATTATGAATTTAATAATAAAAAATATATATATAATAACTAAAATAATAATGATAATAATTTTAATTTTAATTTTAATTTTTAATAATAAAAATTATTATTGTAAATAATAATAATAATAATAATAATTAATAAGAATTACTACCTCCGTCCCGCTATATTCGTCCAGTTTTGACTTTTGGAACTGTTCATCTAAGCACTTTGACTCATCAAATTCTCTCAATGTGTAAGCCTAAATATAGTCATGTGTGATCTTGTTTGATTTGTCTTAACATATAGATTATTAATATATAATTTCTATAATTTTTTAATATACAAATTACAAGATAAAATGGATTAAAGAAGTGCATTGGATGGTGTGCAAAAATGAAAGTGGACAAATATAGTGGGACGGAGGGAGTAATAAATTATTGTTGTTATTACTCTAATTCTTTGAATATAAAAAAATCCATTTAGATTAGATTAAATTCATTTATATCAGATCAGATTCTTTCATATCAGATCAAATTGGCCTTAAAAAATTTAATTCAGATTAGATCAGCCGAGGAGAACACAGTCTAAGTAGCTTTGTGTCGAATTGAGTCAAATTATTGGGCTTCTCTAGCATTTTTATATATGAAGAGTGATGGAATTTAATCCACTAGAGTATGTAAAATACATACAAAATAATACTCGTATCGAATAATAATATGAAAAATATGAGATAAGAAGAACACTCGATGTTTTTGTGGAAACCAAAACGAGAAAAAACCAGAAGTCTTTTTTTGCTGTACCATGCCAATTAAAAGGGATATTATAACTATAAATTGGGGAGTATATGAGCAGCATAGAGCATGATAGCCATTGATGGAGCTCAAACCTCTATAAAGAAGATGTTGAATAGCAGAAGGAATATCTATGTAGATCTAGTTTTTCTCT